TATGTTCTAAGGTTTTTAATAAGTTTTTCATCTTTACTTTAAAAGATGGGGGAGGGGGCTTAGCCCTGTTAGCCCTGTTAGCCCATATATACCAGCCGTCCCTGTATATATGTATATATAATATTATTGTAAAGTGGGTGCGTTTTATTCAGGGAGCATCAAAAACACTTTGGTAACGGCTGAGGAAACTCATAAAGAGGAGAGTTGAGGCGACAAATTCCAAGCTTGGACGCAAATACAGTGTCCCTATGTATTATATTGAGGCCGAATTGACAAGAAGACTGTTGAAATATGAAGGCCTTTCTCTGGTGAGTTATGTGTTTTTACGGACACAAATTGTTAATATGTCATGTTTCTTAAAAAGGAGTTTGGCTTAATATGGAGCAGGGGGCTGCTAATATTTATTAGGTTTTGACAGAAACACTAGGTAACTGCTAAAGTATGATGAGGTTTTCTGACGTTAACTGCTGTTACACCAGATCCATTCAGTGGCCCTGTCTAGAGCCAGTGTTTGGTTTGTCCGTTCTGGGCTACTGTAGAAAAATGGCGATACAACATGGTGGACTCTGTAGAAAAGGCAACAAAGGGACAATTCTTATTTTCTTATTATACACTAAAGAAAACTGGACAAAAAGGACATGTATGAGGAAAGGTCCAATGGCGTATAAATATCAGTGCAATTTGAGCATAATTATGTTTAAATTGGCTGGGGCTGGACTGAAAAAGGGTGTTGATTCTTAGTGGGAATGATAGTAGTAGAGATTCTCTACATTACATGGAGGCATTTGATTGTGTTCATATTCAAACATTGTTTAATGGAGCTGTACATTGGTTGAAAATAGGGTTGCAAATTGCAAAAATGTATGGGGCGCCCTGATAGCTTACCTGGTAGAGCTGCCATGTACCAAAGTTGAGTTCTTGCTTCACTTAAAATGGCTTCAGAAACATTTTTTAGTGTCCTGTTTAGCTGTAATACGAGATGACCAGGCGAGACGCCACTGTTTCCTGCTACGGACCAGTCAAAATGCGCAGCCAATGAGAGCAGCGGTACTCCACAGACAAATGGGTGACATCACTATAGGTTCAGACTTTGAAGACCATTTAAGATCTGTGACAGAGACACAGTCCTGCCAAACCAACAGTGCTTTTTGTCACCAACACAATCTGCATTTTAGACATTTTACATTCATGTTATTAGTTTTGAAGCTAAATCATTTTTTTTTCTTTTTCATTACAGTTGTCTCAGGCCTCCTTGCGAGGTGAGGAGGCGGAGGTGTGAAACAGGTTTCTCTTTTAGCGAAGAAGTGTGTCGCTGCATACCATCCCACTGGAGACGGCTGGACTAATTACCGACAGGCTAATGAGATGCTAATGAACAGATAACAAACTTAGCAAGTAGAATTCACCACCCATCCATCCCCTGTAGACCTGCTGGTCACGAGTATCCCTGTCAGCTGTGATGGCAGCTAAGTGTGCGGACCATGGTGAAGGTGGGGAACCTCGGTGATCGGAGAGCAGATGTGGCAAACTCTGGTGATTTTGAAAGTGGAATATGCACTGACTCGGCCATGAGGACGTTTTAATGGTAAAGTGCAGCCCAGAAACAGAAGGAAGGAATGAAAGAGAGAGTGAGTCAACACTCGACACTTGTTTTAAAATATTGTCTAAATAATTTGTTTTAAAATATTTGGGGGTTTTTGTATTAATTATGTCTCAGTATTCTTATGTCAGATATTGATTATATAATTTATTAAATGTTATTTTTAAACCTGTTTATTGCAAGTTCCATGAAGTTTCCATGAAAATACACTGTGATCAATATTTTTGTATCCTGTATAGTATATATGTAAAATAAAGTATACTAAATATTGTATAGATTGTCTGTTTACATATTATACTGAGGTTATTCTGCTCTTAATCCAGCACTCAGCATCAGAAAAAAACTGTTGTAAGAAGTTGAATGGCAGGTGAAGATAAAATCTGTGTTCTCCTTGATCGATTTCAGTTTATTCATATATGTGAATATTTGCTGAAGATGCACATACACTAAGAATGGACTTTACAGTGAAGTAGGAGACATCTTGTGTCCAGCAGGAAAACTTCAGA